ACGACGACGACGGCTACCATACTACTACTGTTGCTGCTACCACTACTAGTCACTGATCTTCGTCCCGGCGGTGGGAGAATTAGCAGCACCAGTATAACATCCTGAGTACAGCGAGAATTCAGAGCACACGGACCAGACAAACATGCGCCCAGCTTTCTGGGCTGGCAAAGCACAGCTTCGCGGAAGTTGCGCCTACAAAGGGAAAGAAGCAGAGATGACAGTGGTAGCGAAAGTGGTTGTGGTGATGTTCGAGAGGCTGTGTTGTCCAAGCCATTTACGCTTACCTTTGTGCTCCGGAACTCTCATGCAGATGTGAAAAGACCCTGCACCCGAAGCTTCATGTCCACCGATGTCGCGCAAGAGCCTCGTCCAGCGGCTCCTCCCGCCGTGGCTCCGCTTCTCTGGCCGGCTCTGGGATCTCCTGGGTGTCACACTATAGATCACCTGGCATTCTCGCAGCAACCGACTTCCAACCAGGTACACCTCCTGCGCTCCTCGGCCGCCTCCTCTTCGGGGTCCGCATCTGCGAAATCGGCCTCTGGCTCCTCCTCCTTTCGCTGGCAACTGCTTCTGGGTACTAGCAACAAAGGGTGGGAAAGACCACGGATCATAGAGGTGAGATGGGGGCGACTTCAATGAAGCCCCAGCTTCACCGTCGTCCTCCTCAAGTCGGATCTCCTCCTTCGCCACCTCCACGAACAGCTCACAGGCACAGCATAAACTCCAGATGCGATCTTCAGCACTCGTAAAAAACAACTCGACTCTGTCTGTTGGGCATCCTGTAACTTTTCGGCAGTCTCCGCTCTGCAGCCTTGCATGTAGAATCCATTTCTGTATCCAAGTCGTTTTCCCGCAAGTGCCACATCTGAAAGCATACCAGCAGTCCCAAAATCCCGGCCAGCCCGAAATGCCCAAACCCGCCCTCAAATCTGCAAGCGCCTGCAACATTACCAACAACAGCAAGAGACCTTGGGCTCCGCAGCCGGCACACACCCAGACGGCGCCGCCGCCGCCACCGCCGCCGGCGGTCCCGCGGGCTGATCGGGGAAGGCCTCGTCAGAAAGGATCCATTCAACGGCTTCACTTTCATCAATCGCGTAGACTCGCACGAGAAGTCCTGCTCACTACCACCAGCAGCACCACTGCTGCTGCTACCGCTACTACGACCACCACTGCCACCACCACCACCAC